TGCTGGGGTGGGGTCGTGCTTGGGTGGGGTCGTGCTGGGGTGTGGTCGTTCTGGGGTGTGGTCGTGCTGGGGTGTGGTCGTGCTAGGGTGGGGTCGTGCTGGGGTGGGGTCGTGCTGGGGTGTGGTCGTGATGGGGTGTGGTCGTGCTGGGGTGTGGTCGTGCTGGGGCGTGGTCGTGCTGGGGTGGGGTCGTGCTGGGGTGGGGGCGTGCTGGGGTGTGGTCGTGCTGGGGTGGTGTCGTGCTGGGGTGTGGTCGTGCTGGGGTGTGGTCTTGCTGGGGTGGGGCCGTGCTGGGGTGGGGTCGTGCTGGGGTGGGGTCCTGCTGGGAGGTGGTCGTGCTGGGGAGTGGTCGTGCTGGGGCGTGGTCGTGCTGGGGCGTGATCGAGCTGGGGAGTGGTCGTGCTGTGGTGAGGTCGTGCTGGAGTGTGGTCGTGCTGGGGTGTGGTCTTGCTGGGGTCGGGCCGTGCTGGGAAACAAGCGTTTCGCTCGAGACATCCTCAAATTTTAATTCGCCGGCTCGTTATTTATCATGGAAAAAATTCGCCGGCAATTCGCCGGCTCGTTATTTTTCAGGGAAAAAATTCGCCGGCAATTCGCCGGCTCGTTATTTATCAGGGAAAAAATTCGCCGGCCTCCTTCAAGCAGGCACCGGGGGACTTGTTTACAAACTAAAAGAGAACCCTGGGCCCATGCCCTTTCCGGGAAAAACAAGCGTTTCGCTCGAGACATCCTTAAATTTTAATTCGCCGGCAATTCGCCGGCCTCCTTCAACCTCGTTATTTATCAGGGAAAAAATTCGCGGGCAATTCGCCGGCCTCCTTCAAGCAGGCACCGGGGGACAGGTTTACCTACTAAAAGAGAACCCTGGGCCGGCGCCCTTTCCGGGAAAAAATCGAGACGTCAGATGTCTGGGGCAGCCCGCACGCGCGCCCGAGCAGGCCGGGCCACGGCACCGCGGAGCGTCCCGGAGGCCAGAGTAAGGGGGGGGGGGGGGATGAGAAAGCCCAGGGCTCGCCAGGGACCGGCATCCTCCCAAAACGACGAAAGCCCTTCCAAAACCCTCCCAAAACCCTCCGAAAACCTTCCGGGAACCCTTCCCGAAGGGTTTTTGGGATGGTTTCGGGAGGGGTTCGGCTGTTTTGAAAGGAAACCAGTTCCTGGCGAACCCCGGCCGCGGAGCGGGGAGGAACACCTGGGGGCAGGCGCACTCCCGCAGAGCGAGGCCGCAGCGCGCTGCAGTAAAGAGGAGGCGACCAGACACGCGATGTCTTGATTTGTCGATGCGCGGCCCCTGGCAGGACCAACCCCTCCCCCGGGGCCAAAACCTCATCCCGAGTCGCTTCGTGGACGGCCCCGAGGCCCCGGCGAGGGCCCCAGGAGGCCGAAGACCGCCGGGTCCAGCAGAAACGTCGCTCTTCTTGACTTGGCGGCGCGCACAGGGGGGGCAGGGGGAGGGGGGAAGGCTTCTAGAGGGAGCCTGTTTCTTGGGAGGTGCGGGCCTTACATCTACAGACAAGGCCCGCGCCTTCTAAGAAGCAGAGGTGCTTCTAAGAAGCCTTCCCCTTCTCTCCTTACCCCCCTCTGCGCGTGGCCGACACGGCCCTGGAGTCGACCAGCTCAGACACCCTCGCGCCATTGCCCTACATCATCCTCGGCCTCCTCCAGCCCTCGCCTGCGATGAGCAGCTGGCCCCCCAGGGGATGGAACAGGAA